GATCCCATGTAGTTGTAATGGAGCTGGAAGATTCCTGTCACCTAGTAACGAGATAATCATTACGTCATACTGCAACACAGCTCTGTGTTGCCAGCCTTGTTGTGATACTGTGGTCTCTTGCTTTGAATTCTGATAAATATACTATGACTTATGCCACATTTTCGCCATCTCGATACCCATCTTACCAGCCCCTCAGTTACATCTGAGGGAGAGTCCTTATCCTGATGACCCATTTCTCCCCAAGTTTCTCTGGGAAGGACTGGCTGTTCAACTTTTTCCTGTCCTCCTTTCCAGTGAATGGAGATATGTCCTTGAGTAGAAGTCCCCATGTCCGAGTCACTGATGCCAAGGACCAAACCAATCCAAGGTCAGTTTCCTTCCTGTTTGGCACTTCCTCCTTACTTCACCCTAGCCAGCCCCAGGTGGCCATGACGGCTACTCCTCTCTGCCACCTGCCTCAGCTCATGACAGTGGCCTTTTGCTATACCTACACTTTCTCCTTGTCCCCGAGTCTCTCTGGCTTCATTCTTAGCCATCCCTGATCTTGCTTTTTAAACAGAATCAACATCCAGTAACAATAATGTTATGTCACTTTTGTTGAACATTCCCTAAGTGGACTTATTACCTCAAAGTCTCATGACATCCTCAAGATGGGTCCCATCACCCCATTTTATAGATGAGAAAAATGAGTCTTGGTGGATCATATGTCCAGAAGGTAGGGAAGCCAGAATTAAGGTGGGGTCTGGCATCAAAATCCAAGCTCCTCCATTTTACCAAACTGCCTCCCTTTGAGAAGAGCTGCCATATAGTATCTTATCTCTATATACAGGCAAATATACAGAGACAGACTTCCTCATTAGTGAGCAAGCCAAAAATTGAGTCAAATTCAACTCTGGAAACTTTTGGTTTTTTTCTACTACAGGATGCTACCTTCCACCATGGTATTTACTACTTTACAAGTTGCATATTTGCTTTGTAAAGAATAAAGTACACTTGCTACTTTATACTTCATAAGTTGTCTACTTGCTTTGTAAACACTCAAATTCCCGCTTGCAATCAGTTTAAGTGCCCTTTAATAATAAAGTCTCATGTTAGGAGATCTGAAATGTGGCTTTGGATGACAGTGCTTCCCTTCTGCTTCTCTGCCTCCTTCTCTGCTTCCCCCTCCACTTGTCCTTGGAATGATTCATCTTCCCATCTTCTCTTCGGCAGGCATACATTGTCCCCTGAGGGTGCTTATAGAACTTGAAATATCAGCCAGAATGCAAGCTTTAAATTACAGCGAGGAATGGAGCTGTCAAGCTCTCTGGTGACTCATGTTTGTTGATCGGTACCCTTTCTCCCTGTGGGCAAATCTGTGTGGGATGTTAAATTCATAATTGGGAGGTGGGTTGGCAAAATAAGATTTAAAACAAGAGAAATTAGATGAGGTGACTGGGTGTGACAGGCTACAACAGTTTGATGCCTTGATTTTTGCATTTGGGATTTTACTGCTGCAGACTTTGGCTGGTTGAATCCTTGGACCAGGATGCAGACTCTCTCAGAAGAAGTTGTTATTGTGGTTGATACACTCAAACAATTTTTAAGAGTTTTTAAAGTGAGATGTTCAGTAACTATAAAAACATTTAAGGAATATGTAGAAGTTATAAAGGATAAATACAGTAAATATCCACTTATCCACTGATTGGACCAGAAACAGAACATTGCCAAGAATGTTTAAGTTTCTTGTGTGTCCCTTTCTCATCATATTCCATTTCTTTTCTCGAATAACTATGATTCAGCATTGTGTTTATAATTTAATTTTTTCCCATCATAACATTACCTTTTACTTGAATCTACAAACAGCTTTATATATATACTAGAGGCCCGTTGCACAAAAATTTGTGCACTCGGGGGGAAGGGGGGGTCCCTCAGCCTGGCCTGTGCCCTCTCGCAGTCCGGGACCCCTCGGGAGATAACACCCTGCTGGCTTAGGCCTGCTCCCAGGTGGCAGAGGGCAGGCCCAATCCCTAGGTGCAGCCCCTGGTCGGGCTCAGAGCAGGGCCGATTGGGGAGTTGGGGTGCTGCCCGCTGTCATGCACAGAGCAGGGCGGATCGGGAGGTTGCGATGCCACCCCCAATCACGCTCAGGGTAGGGCCGATTGGGGGTTGGGGCACCGCCCCCTGTCACATTCAAGGCAGGGTCGATGGGGAGGTTGCAGCGCCACCCCCTGTCATGCACAGAGCAGGGCCCATCAGGGGGTTGAAGAGCTCCCTCCTGTCACTCAGAGAGTAGGGCCGATAGGGGAGTTGGGGCACCACCCCCTATCACCCACAGAGCAGGGCCGATCAGGGGGTTGGGATGCCACCACTCTCACACTCAAGGCAGGGCCGATGGGGAGGTTATGGCTCTACCCCGTCACACACAGAGCAGGGCCCGTGGGGGTAGGGGGGTTGGGGTGCCGCCCCCTGTCACACACAGAGCCGCGGGGCGATCAGAGGTTGGGGAGCTCCCCCGTATCAGGCACAGAGCAGGGCTGATCAGGAGGTTGGGATGCCTTCCCCTGTCACACACAGAGCCGCAGGGCGATCAGGGGGTTTGGGTGCTGCCCCCTGTCACGCTGATCCCAGTGCCGGGAGGCCTCTTGGCTTTGCTGATCCCAGTGCTGGGAGGCATATTACCCTTTTACTATATAGGATGGAGGCCTGGTGCATGGGTGGGGCTGGCTGGTTTGCCCTGAAGGGTGTTCTGGATCAGGGTGGGGGTCCCCACTGGGGTGCCTGGCCAGCCTGGGTGAGGGGATGATGGCTGTTTGCAGCTGGTCACACACCCTTCAGGGTGGGGGTCCCCACTGGGGTGCCCGGCCAGTCTGGGTGAGGGGCTGAGGGCTGTTTTCAGGCTGGCGGGTGACGGAAGCTCCCAACGCTCCTTTTTTTCTTTTTCTTTTTAATTCTGGGCCAGCTTTAGCTCTGAGGCTCCAGCTCTTAGGCCTCTGCTGCTGAAAGTAGGTAATCGAAACAATGTATAACTCCAGCTCTGACTCCAGCTCTGAGATCCCAGCTCGCTGAAAGCTGGTTTCTGGGGTTTTTTTTAGCTTCTATATTTGTTAAAGTGTTTCAAACTGCAGGCTCAGAGGCCGGCAAGGCAGGCGGAGAACGTTGGAGTCCTCCGTCACTGAAGCAAGCAAGCCTCATGTTAGTTCCAAGCTGCCTGGCTGCCGGCCGCCATCTTGGCTGGCAGTTAATTTGCATATTGCCCTGATTAGCCAATGGGAAGGGTAGTGGTCGTACGCCAATTACCATCTTTCTCTTATTAGATTAGATATATGATCATGCCATATATATTTTTATCAAAAATTCTTAAAACTTTAAGAGTTTTTAAAAATTAATTAAATTTCACAAGTACATAGTAATCCACTATAGTAACACACAATTTATTTATCTTTCCTATTGTTGATGGGCATTTGGGCTGTTTAGAACTTGTTGAGATAATCAATAGTTCTACTATGCACATTTCTTGGGTATTTTTCTTGGTGCATATATGCATGGGTTCCCAGGAGTGAATTCCTGGGTCATAGGGTATACACATCTTCAATTTTAGTAGAAAAAGACAAACTGTGTTTTAAATGGTTAGAAAAACTATAGGATACTCCTAGCAGCACTATAAAATCCATCCTTTCCCACAATCTCACCAGCATGTAATGTTGCCAGACTGATTTCCATTGTGGGTGTGATATCAGTTCACTGTACTTTGAATTTACACTTCATCATTTCTAATAAAGTTGAGCATCCTTTCCTATATTTATTTCCACTTATGATTATTTATAATGTTCATATTCAAGATTTTTCCCTTTATTATTGATTTGTTTTCTTTTTAATTGATTAGCAGGAGGTTTTGTTTGTTTGTTTTGATTTAAATATATGTTGGATATTAATCTGCTTCAGGTTTTTGCGTTAAAATATCTTTTCTCAGTTTCTATATTTTATTTTAATTATTTTTATAGCTTTTGAATGAAATTAGAGAATTTAACATTTTCCTTTATGTTTTTTTTGTTTGTTTCTTTTAAGAAATTCTTCTCTACATGGAGGTCATATATCATTAGCTTTTTGTCTTTCTCATCTAAGGCTTTAATGATTTTTAAGTGCAATGTGTGAAAATGAATTTTTTTTCATCTGTGGGTACCCAACTGTTCATAATAATTTATTGAAAAGTACATTATTTCTTCAATGACCTGCTATACACTCTTGTCATATATCAAAGATCCACATATGAGTAGATCTGTTTTGGGACTTTCTATTCTGTTTCATTTCACAAGACCCCTCTGCCATAATTATTATGCTTTTATAATAATTCTAAGTATGTGATAAAGCAAGTACCTCTTTTTCTTCTTCTTGGCCCTTTGCTCTTCTATATACATTTTAAAATCAGCTTGTCAAGTATCACAGATGCCTGTTAGAATTTAGATGGGAATATCATTGAAATTATCAATCAGTTTGGGAACACTTGGTATTTCTCTGGTAGCAAGTCTTTTTATGCATGTAAATGATGTATATTTAAGTTATCTTTGTATTTCTATAAAGTTTTATAATTTTTTCATAAATTTCTTGAACAATTCTTGTAGTTATTCTTAGATGTTTTATAATTCTGTTATTATAAATATCTTTTAAAGTTTTTATTTTTTGCTGAAATTTATTTGTTGAAATAAAAATTTTTACTCTTAAATTTTATTTTAGAAATTAATTTAATTGATTTCTTATGTAAAATCAAACTTGCACTCCTGGGATCAACCAATTGATGCATATCATAACACATACACACACACTTCTGGATTGCAGTTGTTAATATTCTAACTTTTGTATTTGTGATCATGAGCCAGATTGATCTATGATTTTGTTCTCATGCTACATGGGATTTTGTATCAAAGTCATACTCACCTAATGGAGTGAGTTAGGGCTATTCTTCTATATACCAAGATAGGTAGTATAAAATTGACATTATTTTTTCTTCTATGTTTGCAGACTTACTTCTTCCCTGACTATTTGCTGGAAATAGTATTCTGGACTTTGCTTTTCCGTAAGAAGATTTTAAACTTCTGATTCAATTTCCTTTATGGTGATATGACTTTATATTTCCCATTTCTCCCAAACTAAATTTGGTAAGTCATATTTTTTTCTAGAGGTTTATCCATTTCATCTGAGTTTTCAAATGCATTCCATAAAGTTACTCATAATGCCTACTTACTGTCTTTTTAATCTTTGAAACATCTATTTTATTCCTAATATTGTTTATTAGTGTCTTTTCATCTTTTTAAATAATTACCTTGAGATATTTATCCATTTTTATTTGTTTTGTCAAAGAATCTTGATATATTTTTACCCTGATATTTTTCCAGGCAATTTTTCTGTCCTCTTATAAAATAATATCTCTGTCAAGCAATGGCATTTAGGATTTGATATTATACGGGACACTAAAAAAAAGTCACCTTTTCTCTCACAAATACTTTACGTGCTTCTGTTGACGTAAAAAAACAAAAACAAAACCCTAAAAAAGCAACAACAGCATTCAAACCTGTAAAGAACTTTTGTGAGTTTATTTGAGCCAAACTATTGACAATTGCCTGGAAGCAGAATCTCAAGGTATTGCAATAGTGCTCTGAGAATGGCAGTTTCCAGCTTGTTTTATACATTACAATCTAAGGAGGAGACGTAAGTGGGTCACATGAAATTCATTGGTGATAGATTAGGGAGACAGGAGAAGGCAAAGCGGGGAAACCTCTGGGATTGGATAAAAAGTAAAATGATACACATGTTTCCTTTACACAGGTGGGTACAGGATAGTTAACAGTCAGCAATTAACACGATAACAATAGCAATGAAGGAATTTGTGGTCTGCGCCCTGGCGCCATTTGTTGTGCTCCGAGGGATCCAAGGGGTCCGGAAAAGGGAAGTTACAAGTTACCTTGACATTCCACAGGTATGTTATCTTAGCTGCAAAAAGACAATAGGCTCAGTAAAGACCGAAATTGATCTTTGTCAGGGAAGATACTGGCCTAGGACATCACTACCCACTATAAACTGCCTTTTTAATTAAAAGGCTTTCATTTCAGACCATCTTTTGTGGTTACTTAGGTCTCTTGAGATTGCAAGGCCGTCGTCACACAGGTCTTCCCTGAGTTAGTCGGGTTAGCATGTGGCCTTTTTTCGTCCACACTTCTTAAGTATAAGCTTGGGTAGAACTCCACTTGGAAAAATAATTATGAAACTAGTTAAATTTAGGATTTAGGATATTAATTGTTCTCCTGTACAATCTTAAGTAGGAGACAGATTGGGTGCTCATATAAACCTTTCACTACTTTACCTCCCTAAGCTTTTGCAGACAGGTCTGAACTGGTTGGTTTTCAAATCCTCTAAGAAGCAATCCACCAGTTCAGAACACATCAGAAAAGGACAAACAGAACCCTGGCTGCTTCAACCAGGGGGCAAAGATGAAGAGTGGGATTTGATCTAAAGGTCATAGAATCTCTGCATCCAATCTTATTGTGCATTGCACTCCCTTACCTTTGACCTGCGAGCTAAATGAACTCATATATATGTGTGTGTGTGTGTATATATATATATATATATATATATATATATATATATATATATATACTAGAGGCCCAGTGCACAAAAATTTGTGCACTCGGAGGGGAGGGGAGGGCCCCTCAGCCCAGCCTGTGCCCTCTTGCAGTCTGGGACCCCTCAGGGGATGACCACCTGCTGGCTTAGGCCCGCTCCCCGGGGGATTGGGCCTAAGATGGCAATCAGACATCCCTCTGGCAGCCCGGCAGCCCTCGGGGGATGTCCACTTGCCAGCGGGGAACAGGCCTAAACTGGTTGGACATCCTTAGTGCTGCTGAGGAGGCAGGAGAGGCTCCCACCACCACCACTGTACTGGCAGCCATCAGCCTGGCTTGTGGCTGAGCAGAGCTCCTCCCATGTGAGAGCACCCTGACCACCAGAGGGCAGCTCCTGCATTGAGCGTCTGCCCCCTGGTGGTCAGTGTGTGTCATAGTGACCAGTCATTCCCAGTTGTTCTGCTGTTAGGGTCAGTTTGCATATTACCCTGTTACTATATAGGATAGAGGCCTGGTGCACGGGTGGAGGCTGGCTGGTTTGCCCTGAAGGGTGTCCCGGATCAGGGTGGGGGCCCCTCTGGGGTACCTGGCGAGCCTGGGTGAGGGGATGGTGGCTGTTTGCAGCTGGTCACACCCTCTTCAGGGTGGGGGTCCCCACTGGGGTGCCTGGCCAGTCTGGGTGAGGGGCTGAGGGCCATTTTCAGGCTGGCAGGCAACTGAAGCTCCCAACCTCTCCTTTTTTTCTTTCTTTTTTTTTTATTCTGGGATTTATTTACCTTCTATGGCTGTCACTGGAGCTGAGAGCCGGCTTTAGCTCTGAGGCTCGGCTCCAGCTCTGAGACCTCGGCTGCTGAAAGCAGGTAACTGGGTTTGTTTGGCTTCTATAATTGAAACACTATTGCAACTCCAGCTCTGAGGCCTGTCTGGCTGAAAGCAGGTTTCTGGGGTTTGTTTAGCTTCTATAATTGCAACATTGTTTCTTAGCGTGGAGCTCAGAGGCCAGCAGTGTCAGGAGGGGAACCTTGGCTTCCTCCATCACTGGAGCAAGCAAGCCTCCTGTTCGCTTCAGCTGCCTGGCTGCTGGCCGCCATCTTGGTTGGCAGTTAATTTGCATATCTCACTGATTAGCCAATGGGAAGGGTAGCGAAGTTATGGTTAATTACCATGTTTATTATTAGGTAGAATATATATATATATATATATATATATATATATATATATATATATATATAATATATTAGTGGCCTGGTGCAAGAAATTCGTGCACATTAAAGGGAATTAATTAGAGGAAACATTTTAATATTGCTATTTGCTCTTTCTCTATAATAGAAGTGTCAGAGATGAAAGAAAATTAGTAAAATGTATATGAAAATCTCCCTCCTGTCAGAGTCTGTGGCATGCCACGGGACCCAGAGTCAAGTCCCCGCCCACCTGCACCTGCCTCGAAATCACGCGAGACCCAGACCGAGCAGGCCCCACCCCCATCAAGCCCCGCAGGGTGGGAGGTACAGCCTCAGGTCCCCCGTCAAGCCCCACTGGGCAAGGGGTGCAGCCTTAGGTCTCCTGGCCTGGTGCCTGGGTGGGGGGTGCAGCCTCAGGTCACCTGGCCCGGCCTCAGGTCCCCCGGCTCTGGCACCTGGATGAGGGGGTGCTGCCTCAGGTCCCCCAGCCCCGGCACCGGGGTAGGGGACGTGGCCTCAGGTCCCCTGGCCCAGCCTCAGGTTCCCTGGCCCCAGTGTGAGGGCACGAGGGCTCGAGGGCGCAAGGGTGTGACAACCATTTGCATATTAGCTCTTTATTATGTAGGATGTATCCAGATAGGACCCACACTTGCTGGCTTTGCTTCAGTTCTTTCCTCTGGCTGGAATTCTTTCCTTGTATCTCTCTTTTTTTTTTTTTTTTTCCCTTGTATCTCTTTTTCCCAAAACATATCTATCCTGAAAATATGTGATGGACACCTACTAGGGCTGCTGCCTAGCCTATGACACTCCTTTGGATTCCTTTCATTCTCTGTTCACAGTAGTGGTTTCTGCTGCTTTGTTTGTTATACCCTCTATCTTTACCATTGCTAAAATGACCAGCGCTGATACCTGACCAAAGCTGAGACACTTGAATCCTCTCTTCTGGTAATTTGGAACTGAGATTTCAAGTTTCAGTGAGTCTCCATGGGTCCCCTTGGACCTAGATGGTGTAGGCTTTGGGGCTGAGGGGTCAAGCCCTCAACCTGGGCATGTGCCCCGACTGGGTATTGAACCAGCAACCTTGAGGTGCTCAGGACAATACCCAGCCAACGGAGTCACACTGGCTAGGACTTCTCCTTCTATTTTAATTTTACTTCACCACCACAACAAACAGGACCTTTTGTGTCTTAGTGACTAAATTTCTGTAAATGTGTGTTTTGAATATATTTTCTTCTATTTGAGCTATAGTACCCCAGTATGTGGAGCAAGAGTTATTAATCTATTTTGTGCCATGAAATCTTTAGCAGAATGAGACAGACACCTAATCAGAAAAATATATTTAAATGCATAAAGCAAAAACACATTGGGCTACAAAGAACACCAATTATATTAAGATACAGCTCTTAAAATATTAAAAATCTTATTTATAGTATATGAGTGTAAACCTAGAAAATTATTGGTAAGCATCTCATATTACTGGTCAAAGCACACTTTTCAAATCTTTGCCAATTTCGTATTACCCCTTTCCTTTGTGTGTGTGTGTGTGCAGACAGCTTCTGCACTAAATACATATAAATATGAATTCTTAACTAGTGCAATATCTAATGTTGCCTGAGGATTTTATAATCCAAATTGAAATTAATGTCAGGGTGGCCTTGCCGTGAGGTAAAGAAAAGTTGAAGGGCTAGTAAGCAAGAAGCAAAATAAACAAAAATAAGTTCAAATCTTTTTTTCAGTGGCCTTTATGGACCGTACTAAAAAAAAAAACACAGAAAATATTGAAATTTGGAATAGATCATGTTCTTGAGGCAAAAACTTAATTCAAATTAGAATACACTTACAAATGAGCAAACAAATTAACTGAAGAAATTTAATCCTGGTGTATTAAGATGCTCTCAAATGAAGTTTGTTATTGAGAACGTGGAAAGGATATCTGTGTAGGGTCAGGATTAGAAGTTGCATGTGACATTAACAAATAAATAACGTTTTGTCTTGTTTTGTGTTTGTCTCCATCTTTCTTACATGCAGGAGTAAAGAAATTAATCAACGAAGTACTCTTGAGGATGTGACTTAAGAGGAGCATTGGGAGGGGTTCCTTGGCCAAGATGTCAGTCTCTCTAATTTGTCCTCTGACCTTTATCATTTCATTCTTTTGGATCTTGATTTTTTTTTTTTTTACCTTACCATTCTCCAGATTTTTAAGTGTGTCTTTGAAGCATTAAATATGAACACCGATCATTAGTTATCATATAACTACTAGCGGATTAGTTGATAGGTAGCTGATAGCTGTTTTCTAGGACTATGCAGTAGCAGAGAAGTTTCTGATAGGAAAGATATAGGATGTGTATCAGATTACTTAGACCACATTCCTGGCTGCACTGTTTTCTCTGAGCATTAGTTTCATAATTTCTGAAGGAGTATTAATTATATATGTCATATATATAACCTGCCCTATATATGTCTGCCCTATATATGTCATAAGGCCGTTACATAAAATTGCACTGTAATTAATAAATTTTACCATCTTCTTTAGTGCTTTTGTGTGAGTCAAAGAGTCAGGAAAGTGAATTAGAGGTGAAGTGAAAAAGAATGTCACTTTTAATGATTTTGCCCAAGATTTGCCCACAAGGCCAAGTTTGAGGCTCAAAAAAGCAAAATAAATTTAAGATGCAGTTTCTAAAAGAAGTTTATACCTGGAGTGTTGTCACTTTTAATTTACCCATTCATCTAACCAAGCATCAGCAAACAATTACCAAGCACCTATCCTGTGCCAGGTGTGGAAAGAGCAAAGACTGATAAAAACAAAAACAAAACCTGTCATACCCCCACTCTTCTACTCTAGTTTTAGGATTCCTAGGGTTATGAATTGTATTATCTTTATTCATTGAGTTTTCTTCTGTTCAACACTTTCAAACCATTGTTTCCCAAAGTGGTTATGCCCCTAATTAAAGAGATCTTTCTCTGTCAAAAAAAAACAAATTTTCCAAAGGTAATGAAAGAGATCATTTTAAAAAATATATATATTTTTCTTGATTTTGGAGATGAAGGAAGAGGGAGAGAGAGATAGAAACATCAATGATGAGAAAGAATCATTGATCGGCTGCCTCCTGCACGCCCCACACTGGGGATCGAGCCCGCAACACAGGCACGTGCCCTTGGCCGGAATCAAACCTGGGACCCCTCAGTCCACAGGCCGATGCTCTATCCATTGAGCCAAACGGGCTGGGGCGAAAGAGATCATTTTTGTAAAAGAAAATGATCTGACCAAGTATAAATTCTTACCACATGTGTGCCTGTATTTATGTATTTGGTGGGAGTGGCATGGAAAGCAGCATATGTGACATGCGGAGGGACCTCTGACAATGCGATGTTAGGAATCCAGATTATTGGGAAATCATTAAAAACAACCAATAGCACGTTTTATTTCAAAGTATCTTATGGTGCCTACACAAAGGTTACAGTAAAATTGTTGAAATCAAATTAATCTTAATTACAGAAAAATATCTAGTGGATACCACACACTCATCTTAGATGGTGGTTATTCTAGAACGAAATGGGTGAACATAATACATTGCAATTTTATGCAACTTGAAGAACACTATTTTTATGTTTTCTTCTTGTCTCCTTTCACTTCACATTACCTTCACCTAGTCATAAAGTCTATTTGAGAAGTTAAGACAAAAAACTTAATAAAGCAGCATAATCAGTGGAATGTTGTTTTCTGCTTTTTGCATAATCAGAAATATTGCAAAAAATTATAGTGGGAATCGGAAAATTTCTGTCAGCGTGGGCAACTCACTTAACCCCTCTAAATACCTGTAAAAATGTCAATAAAGGTAACTTGCCTACCTACCCCATGAAATAGCCGTGAACATTGAATACAATCATTCATGAGAAAGCTCTGTTTTGTTGTAGTAGTTATTATTTTTTACACCACCCTCCCCCCAAAAAAAAAGCCATACAAGTGTAAGATTTTATTAGTTTAGTATTAGTTTGTGCTTCTCGGTCTGCTCTTTTGTTTGATGTGTGTCTTCCTCATTGTGCCCCTATTAGAAGCTGTTCCACAGAATGGAAATAGATCTTCTTTTATTGGTCATTATATCTGTGTCACGGAAATGTAGTGCCATGCGTGCCAGTGACACCCCCTCCCCATCACACCGAGGACAGAGTGGTGTAACCTTGCCATGGAGAGTGTCACTATTCACAGATTACCTGAGGATCCAGCCCTGTCTTCAGTCTGCAGGGTGATTTACCGTGCATGCTAGAATGGGAGGTTATAATGCTGCAATCAGAGGACAGAGCTCTCACTTGCATTACAGAATAGGCCATTCATAATTCTGTCCACAGGACGCACCATCTTCCCTTAACAGTCTGAATAATGTAGTAGCAGAACAGCAAAAGAAAGTAATCTGGGCAATGAAACCAACCTGCTATTAAGTGATGTATAACACCGATTGCTCCCAAAGGATCCCTTGTTCTCATTACATTTTTAACTTCCTATAAGACAAATTATCAACAGTTATACCTTATGGATGCCTGCCACACTGCATCGTAATAAAGCAGGAAGGGCATAGTCACATTTTCATTTTATAGGAAGGGAAATAAGGTTAACGAATCAGTTAAAAGCTTGCTCAGTATTATGTACCTCAGTAGTAGTAATTTGCAAATCAAACGTGGACCTTTGATTCAGTGATTTGGGTTTTTATTTTATTTTCCAGGAAACACGCTCTAAAAGCTTATATAACACTGTAAGTATCCGAATACGACCATTGACTATACATCTGAAAGGTCTTTTAGTTTGAAATTGAAGGATTCAGGAGTTTCTCCACCAATGGTACCATCCGGAGCAAATTAAAAGTGACATAACCACAGTATCACACAAATATAAAAACATCACTGTAATTATTTTTAAGAATTATCCTGTTAAACAGGCAAGGTTTCTGATTTGATAGCTGGATATATATCAGTTCATTGAACAAAGTATCAGAGATGTAATCGTCTGTTTTGGTTACTGTTTAATAAATTCTTGCCCTGCAGGTGGTACAAAATGTACTCATTTTCAGAGGGAGGGTTGCAGAAGGGTGGCACTGAGCTCAAAGTACGTTCTCTGTTCCCCTGGTGATAAAAGCCCCAGTCTCTCAGCGGAGGTAGCCAGTTCAGCAAAGGGAGGTGGATAGTGCCTTCCAGGTCAGAGTCTTTATTACAGGTGCTTCTAAGGACATCTTGGCAGAGACCCATTCATATTTATCTGTGAACTCTGTCCTTTGTTACATGAGAAGGCAAAGCAGAGGCACTGCTTTTATGGCACCTGAAAAGTCCTGACGAATGGCCCAGTTCCATGCTTATGTAATGTAAAGCAGTTCTCCAACAGCAGGGACATGGCAGGGAAGATTGCTTTAATGTGGAAAGGGTATGTTAGGCATCAAGAGACACTGTCCTTGCTTTCACATTATGCGGCATTCACACAGCGAGAGATGGGGATTTGGCAATTATCTAGCAAATGTGATGGATGTTAATGGACAATCTGGCTAATCTGGCTTTTGAAAGTAGATTTTTAGCAACAAGAAGTGGAATGCCAAGAGAGCTGTTCAATGAGTTTCTTTTTATTTTTAAGTTAAATTGCCGTTCCTGAGTTTATTTTGCAATTGCCCCATGATGTTTTCAATACTATTTTGGCAATAACTACACTTGGTTCTTAAAGGGTCCCTCACATTCAGTTAGTTCAAAGTAGAATCAGGTATATGTAGGTTTTCGGTTCCCATCCCGCTTTGCGATATGAATATGAGCTGCAAACTTTGGTAACTCTGCTCCTTTCCCTCTCCTTATTCTTTCCTGAATTCTAGCCAAGATGATTTCTGATTTCCTCGGGCAATTTCAGTTACTGTGTAAATATATGTATTTATATACACACTGACAATTCTTCAGACATTTAGAGGGATGAAAATTTAAGTCTCCTTACTCTGAAAGTATTAGGCACAACTTCTTTCATGGTTGGACAATATTGCTTATTTTTGTCAAAATGTTTATTCACTCCTTTAGGTGAATATTGGGTACATGCTAATTTTATGCAACTAGGTTTTAGGTTGACTCATTTGAAATTACCAATAAACAACCACTTTTGTCCTATAAAACTTCAAATCAATCTCAGGGTACAATCTGACATGTGAGATGCTATGAGTATTAGAAAAAAATAAAAGGCTAGGCCAAAGAGGGAAGATTTTTTTGGAGGTAGTGACATTTAGAATTTGGCCTAGCATGATTAGATTTCAAGACAAATATAGCAAGAGACTATCCCAGAACACAGAGCATCTAGAAGACACGAGGAAGTCATCCATTTCTGGGACTAAGGCAGACCAGCGTGTCGGGGCCAATCCTTCACTAAGCTAGGTATTCTATATCAAGTATAAAAACCTCCTGCAACTAAAAATTCTGGATCAAATAATAAAAATAAAATAATTTGAGATGTAAGATGATAAAGAAGATATGCAGATGTAAATAAAGGCAGCAAAGAGCTGACAAGAGATTAAGGATTATTAGGCCTAGGAGGAACAAGGGAGCCCAGGGACTCAGTGCTGCTGCCTTCGGGGCCTTTGCCAATTTCTGCAAAGTTGGACTTTGATTTTGACATCAAGTCCCCAGTGCAGGCTCCGTGGGGAGAATCAAATAGGATTCCTCTCCCCACTAACTGAGATCCCAAAGGACCGCAGCAGCACTGTGTGAGAGAGGACAAGACGTAAGCTCGTTCATTTCCCACCACCACCCAAAAGAACCCCAGGTGTCTGCATTGGTGCTGGGCAGAGCAGAGGGGAAATATAATTTTCCCATTAGAAGCTGTTTATAAACTGGTGCTTGTGAGAATTGGCAGTCTGCATTCATACCATCTCAGTAGTTCATAAAATATCAAACCATGATTTTAGTCGAATTTTCATCTAAATGGTCTTAGACTAGTCATGCCTCCAGGCTCCTGACTGAAATATAAATAAAAATGCCTTCTGAAATAAAGTACCTTCTTTCAAGGCCTCAGAGATTCTCACCATATAATGTTTCAAGGACAATATGCAGCTTGCAGTCTGAAATCATAAAACATATAAGAAAACAAGGTACTAGGTGTGAGAAATAATGGAAAAATAACAGAAACAGAGCCACATGACAATAGATGAGCATTATCAACAAATATTTTACAAAAATTTATAGTTGATAAGTTTAAATAAAGGAAAATCTTGAATAGGTGTGGTGCATGGAGCTTTAGGGCAGGAAAACTCTTCTGTATGCTACTATAATGATGGATACATGACAGTATGCATTTGCCAAAATTCATAAAACAGAAAACACAAAAAGTGAACCCTAATATGAACTTCAGTTAGTAGTAATGTATATTGATCCATCAATTGTAACAAATGTACCATACTAATGCAAGATGTTACTAATTAGGAAACTTTATTTACATGATTACCTACTGAAGGACATCTTAGTTGCTTCTGAGTTTTCACAATTATAAATAAAGCTGCTATAAACATTTGTAAAACTTCTTTGGTGAGGTTTCTGTTCAGATATTTTGCTCATTTTTTAGTCAGGTTGTTTGTTTTCTTACAGTTGAGTTTTAAACGTTCTTTGTATATAAACAGTCCTTTATCAGATGAACAGTCCTTTATCAGATATGTGCTTTGCAAATATTTTCTCCCTGTCCATGGCTGGTCTTTTTATTTTATTTTCAGCATCTCTCGGTAGAGCAGAGTTTTAAACTGATGATATCTAGTTTATCAATTATTTCTTTCTTGTATTGTACCTTCAATGTTGTATCTAAAAAGTCATCACTATACCCAAGGTTACCTAGGTTTTTTCCTATGTTATCTTCTAGGAGTTTCTAATATACTTTTTATTGAAGTATAGTTGGGATAGGAAAGAGAGAACAGAGTAGAGGCAACATTTGGGGAGAAAATGGCTAAAAAGTGTTCGAAAATAAAGGTGAGATAAAGGTACCAAGGAACAGAATCTCCACATCCACTATAAGTCAGGAATTAGGAGCAGGAGAA